GTGGGGGATGGGGCGGGGGTGGGGTGTATCTTGGGAGAAAGAACAGATTGGAACTAAAAGAGGAAAAGAGAAGTTAAAAAGAATTTAATCTGAGGCATCAAAGTCGACCTGAAGTTATGGGGCTGACTGGGGGCGGGGGGCATGGGGAATTCTTTGGAAAAGCAGGATGTTAAGAGGCTTTTCTTAAACGAATCAGTTGTAAATGCCCGTTAAGGCTGCGGGGTCAGTTACCTAACTGATGGCCAATGGCCTTAATGACTCCATTGTTGCCGCTGTCCTCCCACATCCTGTGTTTGTTTTGTCCTGCTAGCTCCATTTGAGACTTTCTGTCCCCAGGCTGATGCCCTCACTCCAAGTCTAGTTCAGTGTCTTGCTCAGTGCTAATTAAGTGTCAAAGGCTTCAAGGTTCTTTCTGCAGATACAAAACTCACTTCACAGCGATCTGATTAAAGCAAAGTCGGGTGTGGTGGCAACAAGGAAATCCTCCTCCTCTATCTGGAGAACTTTTGTAGAATGATTATAATGACAATAGGCAAAAAATCAAAAGCATTTTTAAAGAGTCTAATTAGCACCTCTGGAACTTTAAAAAAGCCATGAATATGTGTGTAAAGTGTGTTTTGGAATTGTTGCTCACTTAACAATAAAAAAAATACATACTGCACAAATTTTGAATCGATGAGATAGATATGTGCTGAAGGTTCATTGCCTATAAGTCTTTGCATGAGTTTACAAATAACGGTATAAATGTGTTGGGAAACGTTTTGGGAAATAAGCTGCGTGTGTTCTTAAAAATTTTTAATGAGAAACTAATATTACTGTCTTGATGCTGTCCTACTAACAATTTAATTTCTCAAAAAATGGAGACTGTGAAGATACTGAAATAGTTCACAGCAGAGCTGAGTCGTGTGTGAACGTGTGCCAGGTGCATCCACTCAGATGAGAAATCGCAGGTCCCTACATTCTGACAGCCTGAAATTCTGTCTCCTCCACAGGGATGGAGGCTCCCCTTCCTGACTCTGAAGAAGGCATCTCGCTTTTTGTCTGTCTGAAAAGTCTAATTTTAGGTTTTCATTTTTGCTTTCTGGACTTGGTTGTTTTTTAGTTGCCACATTTGTTTTAAACCCAGCAAATCAGATAACTGGGGGTCGGCGGGGGGGAGGGGGAGCGGAAGGGGCTTGACCCACTGGAACCACCACCAAGCTTCAAGGAAGAATGTACAGACGCAGAAGACGAGAATGGAAGCGTCCCCATCTCTTCAGATGCCACACACAGTCCTAAAAACCCTACTTGGTGCTTGATACACAATGCAGAACGTACTAAACTCCATGGGAAAATAAGTTCCGATTCCAAAGATTGAATATGCTGAAAATGTACTCTTGAAATAAACTTTCAAAAATTACATGATAGGGTTTTAAGGAGTTCAAGTCATTCTAGAACCTGAGTCCTAGGACAGCACTCACACGTAAGGGCCACCACCTTCGACCAGGTAAGTGTGTGTCATGCATTAATCTGTCCTGTGGAGGCTTGAGATGCCGAAGGGACCCCTAACGTGTTTGGGTGTCTGGCCTGGGGCCCCACTTGGGATAGAAGAAGTAACTCCTTTGGATTTGCTGGCAGATTTTGCACTCAACACCCATCTGAGCTAGACAATGGGTGCCTTTGCTTAGAAAAGTGGTCCTTCACGAGTCTGAATGAATTTATTTATTAAGGGGCTGCTCTGTTCTAGGTGCTTTTCTAGATGCTAAGGATACACCGTTTAACAAAGATCCTCCCCATTTTGGAACTAAGCTTCTAGTGGGACAGACACCCAAACAAGAAAATATGCACAATGTACAATATGTCAGATAGTGGTAACTGCTAAGGAGAAAAAATATAGCAGGCAAGGGAAATAATCAGTG